GAGGAAATTGTGAAAGTTGATGTTAGTGATTATAAATAGTAAAGTGCAGTATAATTGAATTGTGAATTACTGAGAAAATAAAGGACATTAGATAGAATCTTTATAACGAAAGAAACTGCAAACTAAGTTGGCGAGTTTTTATTTAACAATCCAGAGATCGTACCCGAAGGATCTAGAAAATAATCGAGGTTGATTCAGTAAAATCGTAACAATATGTATTCTTCTTCCTATCCCGTAGTAATGAATTCGCCTTTCTACTGCATTACCGACACATAGTTAGTACTCTGAAATACATCACTGTTATTATTGTGAATATATTAATATGCAAGACGTCCACCCTTGTTTCCCGAGCGCACTTTGCTTTCCTTTTTCTGTTCGGTGTTCCATGAATTTGGATTAAAAATGAAGGTGTGTGGTATTTTTTTTCAATAAAATGTAGTAAATAATTAATTTTGAAACAAATTTTGATATAACGATTTGCTAAAAACTGTTGTTAAAAGTTGGTGGATAAAATTTTAAATAAACTATTGGTGATCTGAGAGATATATACAGATAAAGTTTTGCTTGTAATCGTCATATATGTACGTTTGTGTGACTAAAAATATTTTCTACCTTTCGGTTTCTAGCTTAACGTGTCTTTTCCGGCGACTGGATGCCAAAAGTTATTCGAAGTGGTGGATGAACACAAACTTCGTGTGTTCTATGAGAAACGAATGGGTCAAATTGTTGAAGCTGACGTGCTTGGAGATGAATGGAAAGGTTATCATTTGCGTATTGCCGGTGGTAACGATAAACAAGGTTTCCCTATGAAACAAGGAGTACTATCTCATGGTAATTAAGTTTATTTCTAGGGCATTGTTTCCAACTCTTATGCTAATGTGTTTATTTCAGGTCGTGTTCGTTTGTTGTTGAAGAAAGGTCACTCCTGCTACAGACCTCGTCGCACTGGTGAGAGAAAAAGGAAATCAGTCCGTGGCTGCATTGTCGATGCAAACATGTCTGTTTTGGCTCTTGTCATTGTTAAAAAAGGTGAGCAGGAATTGCCTGGTTTAACCGACACAACAGTTCCACGTAGACTAGGACCAAAACGTGCCAGCAAAATCCGCAAGCTTTACAACTTGACTAAGGATGATGATGTCCGTCGTTTTGTAGTTCGTCGCCCATTGCCTGCTAAAGACAACAAAAAGGCTACCTCTAAAGCCCCTAAAATTCAGCGTCTGGTTACTCCAGTAGTATTGCAAAGGAAGCGCAGACGTACTGCATTGAAGAAGAAACGTCAAGCCGCTTCCAAGGAAGCCGCTGCAGATTACGCCAAATTGTTAGCACAGCGTAAGAAGGAGTCAAAGGCTAAACGTGAAGAAGCTAAGAGACGTCGTTCTGCTTCTATAAGAGAATCAAAGAGCTCAATTTCGAGTGACAAGAAGTAAAATATTTTTTACTTATTTCCAAAATAAATATTTTAACTTGCTTGGAAAATTAATTTATTGTGTCATTGGTGTGGTTGGTGTTTTCGCAATATTCGATTCGTTGGAAGCAACTAATTTTATAGAATGATTGGTAGGACCAGTACGGGAATTGCAAACCAATTTACAAGGCAATCGACACTAATTGTTTTATTTTATCAAATAATGATTTCTGATTATTTTCTGGAATTGTAGGAAATATTAAATAAGCTGGTAAAGCATCTTTGCTGCTCTTTGGGATAAAAGGTCATCCTTTGTTAAAAAAAAGGAAATACAAATTTCGTTTTTTCGCTTTTATTGAAATGGAGTTTATTAGCTTGCGTGTGTGGTATTTGCGGCCATGAGGAAGACCGTGAAGCGAGTCCTGATCCTGCGGCAGAGAATAAGAAGCCCTCTGAATATATTTTTACATAAATTGCAAAACTCGTGATCTTGAAAATAAATCAAGAGAATGTGTTTTGGGGAAAAACACAAACCACAAATTGAAAACATGGGCGAAAATTTGCTCAACTATAACTTGGTTGCTAAATATATTTACATATAATAAATCTCGAGTGTTGCGAGGGTTTCGTCTTGTACTAGCTTTTGCATTAAAGGGCAAAGCTTCTTGGTATTAAAATAATTTCATCAGTTTGTATGAATAAAAACTAATCAAGGGAGAAGAAAGTGTGAAAGTCTACTCGTTGCACAGATACTTGAGCTGAGTATAATAATATAATAACAAGTCTTCCTCAAATGGTAAGAAGTGTTTTGTTTTGAATACATGTACACCTCCAAACAATTTTCTTACGAATATATTATACATGGTATATTTATTGGTACTTCAAATGATGCTCACAATATAAATAACTACATTAAATTTTTTGGAATAAATATTTTAAAACATTGCATCTCTATAACATTTACACTGGAATTAAAATTATATAAATAAATTTAAATTAGTATTAAAGTAAACCTGCTGCCACAAGATTATCATTGAGTGCAACTTCATTATACTTAGTATCTCCATTATTTTCACTGTCATCATCATTTTCAATAAGACAACCAGCTGTTCGTAGTTGCTCTTCATATCGAGCAATTTTAGTCTCTTGATCAGTTAGGAGTTCAAGCAAATCTTCCTGGTCTTTCTGAAGCTTTTGCAATTCGTCATTTGCAGTTTTAGAAAGTTGCACTTCATTTTCAAGTCGCTTTCGAAGAGATTCCAATTCTTGTGTTAATCGCATATTCTCTGCATAATATAAATTTGTTTGAAATTGAGCGGCATTTAGAGCATTAACCGCCGCTTCATCCCCTGATGTAGTAGTGCCCTTTTGTACAGCTCCTATCTGAGCTTTCAGCAAGGTATTTTGGTCAGATAATTGTGTGTTAAGGTTCTGTATTTGAGACAATTTATGCTCCAGTTCAACATTTTTTGTTTCAAGCTTCTTTGAAGATTGTTGCAACGTATTGATTTGACCATCAAGGTCACGAATAATGCCTTTATATTGTGCTACAAGAGCAGATGCTTCAGAACTGAGCGTTAGTTCAGTTAATTCTATACCATCAACATCAAAACCGCTTACTAACTTTGCTATCAATGCTTCTAAGCCTTTATATAACTTACAATATTCATAATCTAGCAATAGATCAGAAGCTGATTTTGTTCGAATTTGCGGCTGCTTGCAAGCCCGACTATATGATTCGTGACGTGATACTTCACTGAGCTTATTGCAAAAAGTCTCTTGTCCAATTCGTTTAATTATCAACTGACAAATATCGTTCCGTTTTTGATTAGGAAGCGAATTATCATTAAATTGAATACAAATTCCCATTAAAAAAGCACACAGCCCTTGTATTAGGTATTCATTTTCATCGTGCTCATTAGCACTAATCTGCGCTGTTAAATATGCCATTGTTCCATTTGTGCTAAGAAAAGTTTTAACTGCTATGGGGCAATGAGCCAACCACATACATAACAACATTAAAAGTCCAACTTTACTCTGTTGTTTATAACTATCTTGTTGAAGTAAATTTGTACACTGCTCCAATAATGTTACAGGTCTGCTCCTGCCAGAGGTGGCTAAAAGAACGCGTAAGAGTTCTTCCTTCTGTGGAACACTATCAACAAGTCCATGCATAAGGGAAACCGCTGAAAACCAGTTCGCTAGTGAGTCTGTAGAAAAGAGACCAGCACATAATAGTTGACCAATTGAATGGCTGCTTCCCTCCGCCTCAGATGATGGCAATAACGTTTCAACCACAGCTTTATGGCTTTCTTCGTTTCGAAATAAGTAACATTGAAAACAATACAACACAGCGCATCTTAGTTCCAACATTTGTTTCTCGTTTATCATCGACATTAGCAGCACAACTATTACTGGTCGAGGCGGATAACTGGGCGCCATCACTTTACTAAATTGATCTTGGTTTTCTTTGTCGCCACGAACTATCTCAGCAACCGTATTTATGGTTTCCGTAAGAATATCCGGTGGTACACCGCTTCCCATTAAAATGCTACATAACGAATCCAAAATTTTTGATTTTCGCATTACTTTCTGGCAAGATGAGATTACTTGCTGCTGATTACTTGGAGTTACTAATGATCGTACTACTTGCAGCATGCAATGTATATTTGATACTTTTTGTGGCCCCCAATCAGCTTCTTCGGTTTCTGGTGTTATATTAAACATTGGTGATAGTTTCTGAATGAAAGAGCCTTCTTTGAAAAATTGTTGATTGCTTGAATTATTTTTTAGTAAATTCAATAAAAGTATTAAACAGTCTTCAACAACAATACCACCTTCAGAACATCCTTCACTTTGTATAATTTCAAAAATTTTATCAAACGCGTTTTCAAAGGCAACGATTTTTTGTATATTGGAGTTACCTTTTGTTAACTGTATGAGTAGAAGTAATGCGTCGTTTCGAATGACTTCACGACTATCTGTAAGTAAGTCCATTAATTTGGACACACCCATTGGGCTTACGAGAATAATTTCTTGCAAATCTCTAGTTTTATTGGCAATTAGCGTTGTTATCAGTTTAATTGCCGCACGGCGAACACGAAAATCATATTCCTCTAAATAACCCATAACTAATGTAACATGATCATGTACTTTAATAAACATTTCCGTGAATTGCTCTCCAACATTAACTGACACAGCTGGGTTATCTGCTTCTTCATCAAATTCTTCAGCAGCCGTTATATTACACAATGCATCTAGAGCGTAGCTAATTACTTCTGAATCTTGGCCATCATGTTTTAGAATTTGAATCAAAGCCGGCATACCTTGCGCTCCGACTTCGATCCTATATTTTTTAGATAGTGCTTTTAGTGCACGACAAGCGTCTCGTCGATCATCCAATAGTGTAGAAGAAATCACTCGTTCTACTAACTTTTCTACAGTTTCTGCCGCACTAGGCTGCTGACCTGTTTCTGTTGCTCCCAGAACAGTTTTAAACCCGCTTTTAAGGAACTCCATCGATCACACAGAATTTAATAATTGTACTAATCAAAACAAATATTTTTGCTTATTACAATCTGCCACGGAAGTCGTCCACGTCCAATGCAGAGAACGTACAAGTGTTTTTGTAGATTCTCTGACCAATTTCACTTCAAATACAGGCGTGTTAAAATGTTTAACCCTTATAAGAGACACATTTTAAGTGTAAGATTTATCAAAGAACGTATATGAAAAAGCCAATTTACGAGACCGTCATCAAAGAACGTATATGAATAAGAAGCGGCATGACGGTCTCGTAAATTGGCTTTTTCAGAAAGAGCGTAAATTGAAGGTCCATTTTCAGGGTTTCGCGTCCTCTTCACACCATTCGTAGTTCGGAGGGGCGATATGTTGAAGCGAAACCAAATTTTCGCTTGTAAGGGTATCAAAACAAAAACAAAAGCCCAGTTGTATGAGCAGAGAACGTAAATATAACGAGAAGGTTCAATTGCGGACCAGCGTGTAAACTGTCAAAAGCTGCCAAGTTACGATGGATGCATTTCACCACAGGCCGCCAGAAATTAACAGAGTTTGCTATTGATGCATAACATTACTGAGCGTAGCAAAATTAAAAATGCTCAGCAATGTACTGATCTGTCTGCAACTAACATTGTTTATGTTAGCTTCAGATAACGAAATTTTTGTAGGCTTGTTATCAGAATAAACGAAAATATTATTTTCAAATTATTAATATAATTTTTGGAATGGGAGTGAAAGGATTTATTTCATTAATGTATTGTACATCTTTTTCAAATTTCTGTATTATCTAATAGTGAAGAATTTCCTTATGAAGGGACGATTTGCCGTCGGCATTTCGCAA